TTTTTTTTTTTTTGCTGAATGGAGAGGCTGGGGCTGGGGAGGGTGCTTGTTATCTCTCTGCAGCCTCTCTGTAGTCCCTGCCCCATCCGCAGCTGCCCCAGGCAGGGGGGGAGGCTGGCAGGTGTGCCTCTGTGCTATCCTCAACAGGCCCCTCCTGTGGGGACCCCTGGGGAGGGCCTGGGGTCCCCCCAAACCGAGTCTGCTACACTTCTTCCCCTTAGATTCTGAATCAGGGTGTCTCTGCCCTGTTCCTCCCCCCTCNAGGGGGCCAACGTGTTCCTGCCCTACACCCCCGCAGGGCTACCCGCCGCAGCAGGAATTCGTTGCCACCCGGGGGCATCTCAAGAAAACCTGCAGCCCTGGCGGCTGGCGCGGGGACCGCAGGTCCGCATCCCGGCCGTGCTGGCTCTGGGCCTGCAGTTCCCGAGCCTGACCACCAGGTGGCACACGTTCTCCTTGCAGGAGTGACCTGGGTGTCAGGTGCCCCGGGCCGCCCAGGCTGGGGAAGCAGGGGGACCAGGCCCTCGAGCCCCCAGCTGACCTCTGCTATTTCCCACTGTGCCCACTTGATCTTGCTCTCGGCGGAGAAGGGATTAGGAGTCCGACGGGGCGAAGCCTGCCAGGGTGGGCACCCAAAATGGGGCGTCTGCATCCTGCCTTTCAGCAAGAAAGGCGGCCTCCGGGCAGCTTCACCTGAGCAGCCACCAGGGGGCGCTGTGGACCACAGTGCGCTCCGAGGGGCGTGGGAGCGGGAGACGCAGGGAGCCTTCCTCGTCGGACACCCCGTGTCTGCCCCGGGGAGCAGAAGGCCCTTCTCTACAGCTGTCCGAACAGCGCCCTGGTGGCCGGGCTGCCCTAGGTGGTCACTGCGCTGAGCAGGAGCGGGAGAGGTGTGCCGCTGGGCGGGCGGGCAGCCCCAGGGAGCCTGCCGTCGGGGCTCCGGGCTGTGGAGTCGGGGAGCGAAGAGCGTGGGCGAGCCCGAGGCCGGGCGTGTTCTGCCCATGAGCCTCCAAGGAGGAAGAACGGCCTCGGAGACTTCGGGTCACGGAGCCCAGGGCAAGGGCCTGTGGCCACGGGGAGGACACCTGGCTGGGCCGGGGGCTGGCTGCACTGGCCGACCCACAGCTGACCTCCTGGGGGCTTTCCCCGGGGGCGGCCCCTACCCCCAGCCCTCCAGCTCCCCAGTTTTCAGTCTCTAGTGTCTGGGGTGCCTGGGTCCAGAGCCCCAGTTACTCAAGGTCTCCCCCCTCCCCTCCAATATGCAGTAAAACGGATCCTGCTCCCAGCTCCTCTTCTGGGCCACCCTGGCCCTCCCTACCTGCCAGCATCCCCAAGGCCCCCTCAGCCCTGC